TCTTTCTTTCACAATTCGCTAATCCCTGATCCCTACTTAGCCTTTGGTAAAATCAAGAATTTGGCCAAGGTAGAGTTAAGCTCCCCTTCCAGCACATGTCATCCCTCTCCTGGCATGGCGCTGGTAGCTCTCCTCTGGCACCCCGTGTCCATTTATGAAAGCTCTGGTTAGGGCCAGTTTCCTCCACAGCCCCTGCAGAGAGACGTGGCTGGCACTGACTGCAGGGCTCAGTGGAGGTCGGTCACAGTAGAGGAAAGGACTGGTTGGGACCCTGAGATCTTGATTCTTTTTTTGGCTGGGGGGTTGTCATTTTTTAATTACTATTTTAAATTATTATTCATACATTAAATCGCTATACATCATTTAGATTGTGAAGACACTTTACCCAGCATGATTTACACCTCAGTCCAGCCCAGTCGAGACTATTATACACATCCTCGTCAACAGATAAAAGAGATCTTGATTCTTACCAGTTGGTTGATGGCCTGTCTTTGGCTGGGTTAACTCATTTCTTTCAACCCATCTGCGGGTTGTTCTGAAGGTCAAACTATAATGGAAGTACGAGCCTTTTGGAAAACACTACGCTCAGCCCAAGCACCTCCTCTGTGAGACTAGCTGACAGAATGCTGCCCCTGCGCCATGCTGCCATTCCAGGTGGAACTGGTCATTCCTTCCTTGGGCCCCACAGATGTACCTCTAGCATAGCATCTGTTCACATTTCTGCCTCTGCACATTAGACTCTTATTTAAATGCATGAAACAACATCATTTTTATACTCTCAGAGAACTAGGAGAACCAACCATGAGTCATGTTTCAAAATTGGCATCACAGATTGGTAAGTTATTGCGCGTTGTTTTCTGTTGGGTTGTCAAAAGGTCACGATGCATTTTTGTGTAGAAAGAGTATGTCATGAGGTTTCCAATAACCCAACACTGTGTTTCCAGTAATCTGCAATTGTTCTTTTTTCTCTCTGACATGTTCAAACATGAAGGTGATACAATCATTTAAGGATGGGGCATGGTGCAGTGTGGAGGGAAGGGGGTCGAATTTCCCAAGGAGCCTCCTGAAACTACAGGATCATGTTCTAGCAAGCTCTGAATACTTGGTGCCTAGCATCCTATCTGATAAAGAGCAGGAGCTTAATAGCAGTAGAATAACTCATTGCAAGAAACTTCTTTAATAGATTCAGGAAGAACAAAAACCTTCAAGATGTAAATGAATCTCTAAAGGCAAAGATTCAGATCCTACGGCAGGAAGTGAGGAGAGCATCAGGGCTCTCCTGACGCTGCATACATCACACTGCGTAGCGCATCGGGTGTCCAGTGTTGTTTGTTGTACTTCTCCACACGATGCCACTTTCTATCTCTGTAGTTACTGACTGTACGTAGACAAGTAAAAAATAGTAACAATACCCCTTGTCATCATTTATCTGTGATAGCAAGTCTCCTTTAAAAAAGAGAGGAAAAGAGGCAGGTGGTAGTGTGGTGGTGACACAGCCAGACTCACATGGGGAAGGTCTTGGGTTCACATCCTGGGACCTCCTTAGACACACTGAGGCCAGCATGTGTGCCCAATCCAGGCCAAGAGACTTTGATTGGACTGTGGCATAAAGACCCCATTGGGTGTGCCTCTCTCTCTCTTTCTCATGGAAGAGATAAATAAATAAACTTATTAAGAAATAATAATAAGTTCCAGCCACCATTGCAGCAGTAAGTAGTGCCCTTCAATGCTAGAAGCCATATGGCAGCCATGGTTCAGATCCAGGTTGGCCTGAGAATCACTTTGGGTGTGTACTTGGGCGCTAAGATCCTGAGGTGCTGGAGGGCTAGGGAGAGGGGATCATGGTAAGACACCCTCGAGGGTGCTTTGCTCTGCCCACCCACTTCTTGTGTGCACACACATTTTATTAAAGAGAATGGAACCAAAAAATGTTTGTTGTTGCTAGAGAGTTGTTTCCATATTTAGATATATGAAGAGAGTTCAGAAAGTTCATAGAAAAATGGACTTAAAGTGTAAATTTATTTTGGCACCAAAAAATTGAAATCCATACATAGTTTTTTTTTTTTTTTGGAGAGGTTTTTGCTATAGGGCGTGTGTGCTTGCCAGCCAGACAGAGAGAGACAGAGAGATAGAAAGCGAGAAATCACCCCCCAGGGAGGATGGCCATGCCACAATCCCTTCTCCATTCTCCTCTCGGGATCTTGGGCACTCACGCACACGCACCTGGCGTGGGCTTAAGCCACCGGATCCAAGACTCGAACCGCAGTTGGCTACATGGGAGTTCAGCGACATAGCCATTATGCTAACTGCTAGTCCCCATAGCTTTTTCATAATACACATTTTTCACCAAGTTCTTGAAGTCCCTGTGTTTGTTTTAACTGTAGTGAACTTTGGTTTGTTATATTTTTGTTATGAATTTACCCTGTGTATGAATTCAAGTGACTCAAGCTCTCCCTGTGTCTCCCTGCCCCATTTGTCCTATATTAAATACCATACGTTCTAGGATCAGCAGGCAGCATAATGGTTATGTCGCTGGACTCCCATGTAGTTGGCCACGGTTCGAGTCCCAGACCTGGTGACTTAAAACTCAATGTTGGGCACATGTGCAGGTGTGCCCAAAATCCCAAGAGAGAAAGGAGGGAGAAGGGATTGCAGCATGGCCATCTCTCCCTGGAGGGTGATTTCTTGCTCTCTGTCTCTGTCTCTTCAACAAGCACAAGTGCCCTATCACAAAAATCTCTCTAAAAATAACAATTATAATAAAACATGGGTTTTGTTCTGTACATTTTTGTCATTTGGCTTCATAATAAAGCGTTCTAGTTGATTCTATGTGGGTCACAGTGGGGAAGGAGAGGAATTGGACTTTGGTTGTGACAGTGTTTTAACTTTGGCTAATGGAGACATTTTTTAGTTTCCTGAGCAGGTCAGCAGTTTAAAGTTGTGAAATCCACAGAAGCTCTAATTCATTGTGGGATCATCCTAGAAGTTCTGAATCAGTGAAGGAGAGAACTGTGGGGGTCTCAGGCACTGGGGTGTGAGGACCCCTCCTGTTGATTCTCTGGGAGATGATGGGACTTACTGTACTCAGTTCTAAATGTCTTACGCATAGAAAGATACATATATATCCTAAGTGTGGGTGGTGGAGGGCACCCTTGGCATGGAATATTATTTTCCTTTCCTCTTATGGTCAATGAGGAAATGAAAGGTTGTGGTGGTTTCTTTTCTCTCAGTGAGCAGTCTACACAGTAGCTCCCCATACTCTGCAGGGGACTTGTTCTGCGATCCGATCCGTGTAGTTGCCTGAGACCATGGACAGTACCAAACCATGTCTATATCTATGACAAGAAAGTTCAATTTGTAAATTAGGCATAGTAAGACACTGATAATAACTAGTAATAGATCATTTATAATAATATAATGAAACACGAGGTATGTGAATATGGTTCTCTCTCTCAAAATATCTCATTGTGCTGTACTCACCCATTTTCAGACTCTGGTCGATCATGGGTAACTGATACAACGAAAAGCAAAACCACGGACAAGAGGGCTACAAAAGTTCATGGAAACAGCATATTACAAAAAACTATACATGAACTTCAACTTGTTTTTGTACCAAAATAAATCAGGCTTTAATTCTATTTTAGCACTCTAACATGGGAAGACTGTTTCAAAAGTCCGTTTTCTCCATTGTAATTTCTAACTAAACCTCATGCATCCGAAATGTGACTTGCGTATCACAAATTCCCTTTCTCTCCCATAAGCTTAAGAGATACTTGTCTGGGGGCCAGCAGGTGGTATAGTGGTTAAGGTGCTGGCCTCCCACATGGCTGACCATGGTTCAAGTCCCAGACCTTGTAGCTTGCTTTCTCACTTTCCCTCTCTCTCTCTGTCTCTGTCTCTCTCCCTCTCTGATGAGCACATGTGTCCTATAGTGAATTTTAAACATGATAATAAATAAAATTAAATAAATAATGCTATTCTTTTTTAAACAAAAGAGATGCTTATCTGTGCATGGCATGTGCAAGCCTTACCCTAATGTCCCACCTGATGTCTGCCTTGCCTGTGAGCATGTCCTCGTGCTGAGCCTCTGACTGGTTGATCACTCCAAGTGTCCCCTGACATTCCAAGTGTCTCACTGCTCACCTGCGTGTCCTACTTGGTTGTAAGGTATATTGTTACTAAAGGGGAAAGTCTTCAAGTTTGCCCAACTCCTTTTTTTTTTTTTTTAACACAGAAGACTCGATTCAAGGTTATCCCTACAACAAGGTCACTTCCACTCACATCACACTGGACTAACCTGGGTGTACCGTGCAAGTGTATTAGGAGTGGGAATGTCATCTGTCACATGTTGCAGGGAAGAAGGGAGGAACAGATGAAATGTGCAATATTGGAAAATAAGTTCTTTGATCAAAATGTCATTGTTTGACTCATTTTGTAACCCTGCAGAGCCGGGCATGCAGCCTCACACACGGTAGAGGCTCAGTCACTCCCGAGTAAACTAATGAATGCTCTCCAGTAGGTTCATTCATTCCAGGGACCATGGATCTGAAAAAGAAGGAAAAATACATAGCATTTTGGGGGCATTTTAGCATCACATTGAAAAAAAAAACATCCTTCCTGTAACAGTCTTCCTACAGGTAGAAATTGAGTCTGTGTTGTTCTCTGACAGCCCATCCCACTGTCCAGATTCATTAGATCCAAGGGTCACTTTCATAATCCACCATCGCAATATAATGCCTTATGTTTTTCTGCCTAGGTGGTTCTGGTCAAATTGTCATCACAAGTTATTACCCTTAAGTCTAATAAATTCTGAAGACGTAGGTGGTTGATACTGTCATTTGAGGACAAGAAATATTTGTCTAGACGTTTGATCCAATCTGTATTTTTATTTAATGTGTAATTGGCGAGAAAATAGCAAAGGCAAATTTAAATGCTTGCATCTCTAACCTTGTCAGAGTGTCTGAGCATTCATTCATCATCATTATCTTGGATTCCTGCAGCCAGCAGACTTCATAGGAAAGCAAGCACTGAAACAGATTAAAGCCAAGGGGCTGAAACGGAGACTGGTCTGCCTCACCTTGGCAACGGATGATGTTGATCCGGAGGGAAATGAAAGCATCTGGTACAACGGGAAGGTGAGTGCTGAGGGCCTCGCCCCTGAGGGCCACGGCATCTTCTGCAACCGAACTCTCCTTGTTCCTGTCTTCTTTTAGAATCCTTTGCTATTTAATTATTTATGGGAGGGATGACATACTTTTGATTTCTGAGCTGACACTCAAGAAATAGAAAGCAGTTAACTGAAGGAAAATGAAATGCTGCTCATTTTCAAAAAGATAAAATCTGGATGCTTTGTTTAAAGCAAATATGAGGGGACTTCAAAAGGCCCATAGAAAAATGGAATTTAAATTATAAGTGTATTTTGGCACAAAAAAATTAAACCCATGCATATTTTTTTCATAATATGCATTTTCATGAGCTTTTTGAAGACTCCTCATGAACCCAGGGACTAGAAATACATTGGAAAATGAGGAAGGGAATGATTTAGAGGATAAAATGATTTATTCACTCACCATATCCATATCTGTGCATACCAAAGATGGATTTTATAAAGACTTGGCATTCTGCTTTAGCTTCTCAGGGATCTTTCAGAAGGAAGCAATTAGCATATTAGGGAACAAACTTCCAAATGTAAACATCTGTGACAACAGAGGATATACTTCAGAAATTAAATTGAAAGTGGAAACCATGTGGCTCTTCAGAAGGACTTCAGTTACCTTTTCTCACTTTCGAATGTACCATTTTGTTCTGTTTATAGTCAGTAACAACTGGGATGGTCAGATAACCTTTCCATGGAATTCCCTTTTCACCACATCGTGTAGTTGTTCATGAAACCCATTTGGTCCAACATTTGGGGGTGTCCGACCTCTGCTTCCTTCTCCCGGTGGGCTGAGTTTGCTCTTCTGTTTAAACTGTTCCTACTCCCCCCACCGTCCTCCCTTCCTGGTCCTATTCTGTATCTCTGACGCAGTCTCCTTCTTAATGTACGTTGCTCCTCCAATTTCAAGTTTGCCCCCAATTTACCTGATTTCTGTTATTAGCCATCTCTGCCATTCACGAATGGCCTGTCCAGCGCTGATGAGCTCCTGGGAAAGTAAGGTCCGGTTGGGAGCTAGGCAGCGCTGGAGGTGGGGCTATCATTTTAATTAAGGTTGAATTCTGTTAAAAATTCAGGCATAAATATGGTTATAAGAAGAGCTTTCACTCTATTGGGTAGCTTAGTTATAAAAGCAACTTAGCTGGAAGGGAGGTTTAAGAGAAGAGGTTTGTGGGACCATCTGGAGAGTTTAGAAGATTTTCTTGTTTATTGTTTATAAACACAACACATTCACCAATTTTAATTATGTTGCCTCCTTCAAAGGCCACGTATAACATTATCTTCTGTAAGTCCCTTAGAGACATCTCTAATCCAAGAGAGGAATGAGAAAGGCTAAAACTAAATGAGGATTATTTATATTGGTAAAAATGTCAATATTTGATTTAACAAAGAATGAGCATCTACTAGGAAGAGGGTGGGGCCAGGTTGCTCTTAAGTTCACTGAGTAAAAAGGAAGGAATGGATCTCATTGAACCTGGGAAATCTGAATGTAGGACTGTTACAAATGTATCCTGGGGTGGGAGAGCAGCTGTATAGTGCAGTGGTAATAAGCCGCTCAAGAAAAGCCAGATCCCACATGACGACCTCAGTTCCAATTCCCGGCCTGAGCAGCTTGAAGCACACCTGGCACGCGTGCAAATGCCCAGCTGAAGGGCTGGCCTGGAGGACGGGGATTACAGGGTGACCAGACCTTAGAGAAGATGCCTCTCTCTTTCTCTCAGGCGTGCACATAAATACTCTATCATGAATTTTTTTAAAAAAAAATTAAAGCGTATGCTAGAGAAAACCTTTCTCTGGAGATTTGGTAATAAGATAAAGCGAAAGTCCAACTTTTAAAATTATACCCTGAGCTATTAACCACTGGCTTAGAGTGAAGTCAAAGTACAGTCGAAACTTTCTAGCAGAAAGCGAAGCCTGTTTTTAAAATAGCACTTACAAAATGAGTAGTCTCCTTTTCTAGGTTACTAATGCAGGAACGACTGCTCGGCAAATCACAGCTGAGCTATCAGGAGACGGAGTCTGAAGAAATGGTGTCCAGGGAGAGTGTGGGCTTTTGACCTAGTGATTTAGAGGCTGGCTCCCAGACGGTCGTGCAGCTCCCTGCCTCCTTTTCTGAGATGCCCAGGCAAACCAGGTTAATGCTGCCATGACTTCAAACCTGAATCTCTGTCCTACAGACTGGGAAGTGAAACCCAGGTTCCCAAGAAAGTCTTTCACAAAGCTGTGGGTCCAGGTAAGGCTGCACAGGTTGCTGCAAGAGACAGGCCACGTGGAAGGCCTAATTAGGCTCCCACACCAGCCTGGCCTCCTGCTGGCTAGGAGGCTGGAGCAGGAGGTTGTATTGCAAGACCGCGTCAAAAAAAATCTCAATCTCTTGGGACCAGCAGGTGGCGTGGTGATTAAGGCGCTGGACACTCCCACATGGCCGACCAGGGTTCCAGTCCTGAATCTGGTGGCTTGCTTTCTCACTTCCTCTCACTCTCAACCTGTCTCTCTCTGGTCAAATTAAAAAATAATAATAATAATAATAATAAAATAAATAAATGAATGAATAAAAATAAAATAATTATAAAAAAATAAATAAAATCTCAATCTCTCTCTCTCTCTCTCTCTCTC